TGTTTTCTGGTGAAATCCAGTAAATCAATATAGGAAATTGTTAGGCTAGCTGAGAAATATGGGATACTTTATTTTTTGTAGTTCACTTAAGTTACTGAGCCTTCCTGACTGATAAATAATGTTCTGCTATCATAGAGACTAAACTTATTTCAGTGTACTGATTTCAGATACTTTTAATCTTTTCTTATTTCTTTTTAAGAACCTTCACCTGTAACAATCTATGCTGCCTGACAGAGAAAGGACAGGTCTAACAGGATAGAAGGAGATTCTCAAAGTACAGTCAGTGCAGCAATTTTTGCAGAGCAGTATTGTGTTGCTTGCTGATGCTTTGGGTATTTTTCCAACTATATCTCTTCGTGGGGATTAAAACGTTTCCTGGGTAAATCTCATGTCTATACATATTCATGTAAGGTATAGCCACTCACATGCAGTCAAGATTCCATCCATTTTTTTCTGCGAAGCTTGCTTGTTCTGAAATAAATAATTCACAATATTTTTGTCTTTCTTTTGGATATTCTGTGCGGTGATTCACCTCTAGTCCTCTGATCTCCATTTTACGCCTGACTTTCTGTATCTTTATTAATGGTATACCTGTTTCACTGTGCTCTGCAGTTCTGTTTATTTTTCAGCGTGCTTACTGCAGTGTGATTAAATGAGTTGCCACTTCTAAAACAGGTCAGAAATGAGCAGTAAACCCCCAATAATCCAATATAAACATTAAGCATTTATTTAATCCACAAAACAGGAAAAGATGGGTAGCCCAATGGAAATCTGGAAAGTATTCCAGTTATCTGTGGATAAGAGATGAAACTATTTCTTTTCTTACAGATAATTTTAAGTTTCAAATTGCCTGGTGTTAAATTCCCTTAAGAAAATAAATCTGAATCCTATTAAATTGTACACTGGTGTTGTTTTAAAAAAATCTATAAACCATAGTGTAAAAAAGTGAGTGGTGTGAATGTGATTTTTTAAATGTAGCTTTTAGCTAGTTTTGTATTTGAAATATATGTATTTTGTTAGTGCTGTTTTCAAAGCAGGGAAGGTTGGAAAAGTTTATGCAAGTCAAAAGACATGCTATTTGTCATGTCCTGACAAATGCTGACTACCAGAAATACCCATTAGCTTCGTTAGGGGATGTGGCTGCCAACTAGGAAAAAGCATCATATTTTTGATGTTCTCCATTCATCTTACTAGGATGCTACCTTTCAGATACTATAATTACAACCACTTAAGTACTGCTAGTCATAAAACCAGCAAATTGTCATACCAGTATGATCTAGCTAATGAGCTTATATAGTTATAGCTGGAAGTAACTGTGTCTTGATGTGCCATTCATTTGGAAGGACATTATCTAAAAATGCATGTTTTTGATAAATGAACTGTTTATTTTCCTGTGAGATACTTACTGATTTCCATATGAAATTGGCTAATCTTGAACTTACATTTCTAGGCATGATGTAAGCATTCCTAAATATAAAAGAAAGTTTCAGTAGGCACAGAAATTTCAATGCAAATGTTTAATGACTTGGAGTCATTTGAAATATCAATCTGTCTGGACTTTGAATTTATTTTGCCTGAGAGACATGATCTCTGATCTGCCTTGAAATAGGCAAGAAGTAATTTACTTTGTCTTAAGTGGATTTTGAGAGCCCATGGGACTAGAAAATGATAGGAAGGAGGAAAGGAAGGGAGATTATTGTTTCAAAATTTCTTGCAAAATGTTAGATAGTTTCCCAGTCTAAAAGTTATGATCATCTTTCAAAGTCTTTAACTTCTAAGTGTTGTAAGCAGATGAAAGGAAGAAAAAATTATGTAATTTAAATAAAGTTGACAACACAGAGTAAAATGAAGAGTAAAATAGTGCTTTTACATGTAAAATGACCTGTGTCAATAGCTTGTACTTCTAAACATTATTGATATATTTAGAAATACTGATTTTCATATTTCATTGGTTTATTCCAAAGAAAACTGTCACCTGCAGGTGTATATACGTGCCTTCTATGGGTCATTTTATGACAGAGTAGTCAGAGGGAATGTTGTGTATTTTGAGAAAATAGGACAATGAAAGGAATGAAGGACTGAAATTTAGAGAGTTATCTATGCTTAGGTAGTAAAGCTCATGTATTTCTTTCAGAATCCTTACTGTGGTTCATTCAACTGCAGGTTTATTTTTTAAACTTTTTTAATGATCTGATTTTATTTTAAACAGTGTTCAGATATTTATGTTTTAAAAAAAGAGTAAAAATGGAGGGATGAGGTAGTTATTAACTTATTTTCCTAGAATAAGAGAACTTGTTTTTCTTAGTTGGCATGCACTGTTAGTTTTAGTTCTAGAAATTCTTTTTGCTACAGAGTCTCTTTTAAAACAATTGTGAAATATATTTACAATATTCTGGTTTCAGCAAGAACAGCTGAACAACAGCCAGGGATAAGAACTTCTAATATAATCACAGAATTGGAATCACAGAATCAGAGTTGGAAGAGACCCTTGAGGATCATCTAGTCCAACTCCTGGCCCTGCACAGGACATGCCTGGGAGCATTGTCCAAATGCTTCTTGACCTCTGTCAGGCTTGCTACTGTGACAGCTTCCCTGGGCAGCCTATTCCAGGGCCCAACCATCTGAGTGAAGAACCATTTTCTAGTATCTAACCTAAATCTCCCCTGACGCAGCTTCAGGCCATTCCCTCAAGTTCTGTCACTGGTTGTCAGAGAGAAGAGGTCAGTGCCTGCCCTTCTTGTGAGGAAGTGATGAGGTCTCCCCTCAGTCTCATCCTGTCTGAACAGACAAGTGACCTCAGCCACTACTCATATGGCTTTCCCTCAAGGCCCTTCACCATCTTCATTGCCTCCCTTTGGATGATCTCTAATAGCTTTATATCTTTCTTACATTGTTGTGCCCAAAACTCCACACAGTAGTGAAGGTGAAGTCACACCACTGCAGACTAGAGCAGGACGGTATGGGACCTCTAAAGTACAACATCCATCACTGCATATTTGTATTTCTTTTGCTTAACAAAAATGGAATCTGCTCAGAGCCATGGCTTTGGATTTAGCTGCCCTCGTTCACTGCACATTGGGAAAGAAAGGGTCTACAAGGCAATGAGTAAATTTGCAGACTGAGCCTATGAACAGGTCACAGCATAGATGAAATTTAAAATTTTGTCTTTGTTTTCTGTCTTTTGATAAATTGAAGAAGGATTTGAGCCTTATTTTGTTACATCTTTTGTACCTAATTTCCATTGAACTACAGAGTCCCAAAACTCAAGTAAAATGATGAGGCAGATTTCCTATCCCTACTTTACTACCAAAAAAAATAATCAAGCTACAAATGTAACATCAAAGTTTGTTCATTAATTTATTACAAATGGGTCCAAGGTTTTATTTTGCTGGAATTTTGTGTAATGAGAATGCTGCAGGCTGCAATGGTAAGATTGACATTGAAACAATTTCAAAGCTCTTTTTACAATGCATATTATACTGAGCAAAGTCTCTCTAAAACCTGGGTGATTTTGTTTACTAATCAAGAAGGTAAAGAGTGGATAAGCGAACATGGGGAGGTTCGGGTTTGGCATTAGGAAGCATTTCTTTATCAAGAGGGTGGGCCCTTGGCCTGACATCACTGTTGAAGACAGAAACAAAGAAGGCATTAAACATCTTTGCCTTGTTTACGTCCCTGTTTGTGAGGTGGCCATCCTCATCCTGTAATGGGCTGATATTATTTCTACTCTGCCTTTTTCTATTTATGTACTTAAAGAAATTCTTTTCATTGTTCCCTCACAGTTCTGGCCAGCTTCAGCTCCAATTGAGCTTTGGTCACACGAATTTTCTACCTGCAGTGGAAAGCTGCATCTCTGTATGCCTCCCATGTCACCTGACCTTGCTTCCACTGAGTGTACACCACCTTTTTATGTCTCACATCCAAAAGATTCCTAGTCAGCCAGGCTGAACTTCTGCATTTTCTGTGGGATATCCAGCATTTAGGAATTGCCTGTTCCTGTGCCCTTCAGAGGTGTTGCTTAAAAAGTGACCAGCACTGATGGACCCTGGCACCTGCAAAATTGTTTTCCCAGGGGACCTTACCCTCCAGTTCCCTGAGTAGCCCAAAGTCTGTTCTCCTTGTGTCCAGGGTTGAAATTGTAGTTTTACTGGCAGTTTTCCTTCCGTCACTGGAGACGTTAACCTTGGTTGGTTGGTCCTTATGGCCAAGTCGGCCGCTGATTGCTGCTTCACTCACAAGGCTCTCTGTTAACAAGCAACAGATCCATAAGAGCATCATTCTTATTTGGCTCCCTTAATACCGGCATCATAAAGTTGTCATCTAGATGTTTTAGGAGTTTTCATGACCTGTCGATGTCAGCTGAATGGCGTTCCCAGTTAACGTCTGGCAAGTTCAGGTCTCCCAGCTCTGGGTTTTATAGTTAATGTCAAAAAAAATTCCCACAGAAAAATTATTTAAACAACTATGTTACACTTCATACAAGATGCAGTAGGCATTAGTGGATTTACTGTATTTCTATCCAAGCTATCTCTATAAATTGTTACTTCAAAAAAAATCCAACGATTCTATAAAAGACAGGGATGGAATTTGTTCTTGCTCCTTTAACTTAACTCCCAGGCCGTGTCAATTTTTTGCCTATTTTCAATACAGGATTATCTGTTCCTTTCCTGTTTTCTGTATTTTATATAAACTGTTCAAGAAGTGAAATCAATCCTGATTTTTAGATGGCCATTTCTATTCATGAATTCCATAAAGAAGCAACCGAAACTGATAATATTTTACTGTAAGTTGTGTTTTTCTGGGATTGTTGCAATCAATGTTTTCAAATGTATAGAACATGACAGGAGGCAGGAGATCAAGAAGTGTGAACAAATTGTTAAAATGTAAAGAAGAGAGTCATCTTGGTGGATAGGTTCCTTAAATGATACTTTCTGTACTGATACGGTTATCTGCATTGAATTTACTTTAAATCCTGTTATTTCTCTTCTCCCCTCTCATAGCTTTATAATGAGTTGAATTCATGTTTTGAAACTGTTAAAACAAGTGAAATTGAACTGCGGCGAAGCTGTGCCTCTCTTCAGGATCAGTTACTTGGAAAAGATGAAAAAATTTGTCAGTTGCAAGAGCAACTTCAAGAGGCACATAATGCTTTGAATGCAGTGCATCAGAATTCTTCAAAATATCAATTACAGGTGAGTAATTTTCTAGAATAATAAAAGTTGCTGCTTCTTTTAAACTAAGCTTCTGTGCCAGACAGCTTTAAAGGATATTGCAGGGATTTATTTGTTGTTGTTTTAAAAAATAATCCAACTTAACTATGCTACTGCAGTAGAGTAACTATTGCTGCTGTTGTTAATCAAAGGTACTCCACAATTAAATTTGTCATGTGAAAAAAGCAACCTGAGTAATGGTGTCACTAGTGAACAAGACTCTTATTTATATTATTTAATAAAGATACCAAAAATAAAAATAAAAGTGGTGTTGTTCCTGAAAACAAATTCACACAAACAAATTATGAAGTTTCAGAATTCCCTCTGTGAAAATCCATTGTTTCTAATTTGTTTCATTGTTCCTGACCATGCAGCTAAACTTGAGACCATAGATCTAAAGAATGTTTTATGATTGGGAGAAATATTGTTTAAAAGTTCGTAATCTTTAGTGTGTCTTTTGGATCTATTAAAAGAATTACATCCCTCTCACTAGCAGGCCTCCAACTTTACAAATGTGCCAGGTCTTACATATAAACCCCTGACATTTTCCAAAGGCCGATTTATGACTTTCTTTAAAGAGAGTTTGAAAGGCTTTGTAATAACATACTCACAATGGTTTTGTAAATTATCTTGCTGGTTTCTTCCGTGGATCCATCAATGAGGTGTGCTTACACATTTCAGTTTTACTGGTACTCTTTCTCTTGATAAAGCAGAGAAGGGAAAATAGTTAAGGTGGTAATACTCATGAAATGTAAAACTTCACTTAACATAGTTAGGTAAGGTAGATCTGTAATGAAGGTTTATATTCACAAGCCCAAAGGAACCTGAATGTTAAAAAAGCCCAACATCATTTAATTCCTCAAGGTTTGTGTAAGTAGTAATCTGCTGTAAAAGAGAAAAATCACAGAATGCAGCATCTCCTGGATATGTTCTGATAGTCACTCCAGAGTTAATGTTCTAACTTTATTTGTTCTAAGATTCTTAACCTATGCTTATATGATTTTTAAAGTTCCACTTAATCTAATGATGTGACAATTTTGTTTCACAAATGATAACTCTTTTAAGTATTGTGGAGTGTTTACCTCTTGTTATATTCTTGACCTTTTTCTGAGTCTTGAAATAATTAGGGTTTTTTCTTTCAGAAGATTTTGGTAAATGTTTTGAAACATTATAAATATAGTCTCCACACAGGTTTGGATCATAGTTTTTGAATTCTCAGACTGTGTTTCTGAATGCATCATTTACCTTTCTTCATCCTGTATTGTTCTGAAGAGTTCTTTGCAGCTGATTTTGTCATACTATTTTTTTTATCTTAAAAGGCTTTATATTATTATTAAATATAATATATGGATTATATTTCCTGAGGTTAAGGAGACCTTTGTTGCCTTTGTGTAGTGATGCTTTCCTCCATCTACAGCACCTATATTGTCAAACTTGGATATTGTATGACAATTTAGCGTACAGTTACTATGGGGACCTGGCATAAATATGTTTATTATCCTGAAAGCCTTAGTAGTATTAGCAAATTTCATTCCTGCACTAT